GCACATGCTATGTGTCCAGATATTGGTGGCAGAGCTGGTGGATGCTCTTATCATAAGCCTACCCCTGGTCTGTGCTCCTGAGAGGAGCTTTTGGCCAATACCTGTAGCAGGTTGTGCTKCTGGAAACCAAGGTGGTCATTCCTGTGAGACACTGCCCACACATTGCTGCCTTCAGAGGCCAGGCTAAGGCTTTTGCGCTGAACTCAATGCTTTTTCCACTTTTCCCAGGCTTGGAGCTGASCAAACCTGCTGGCAGTAGCCCTGCAGCAGCCCCACGTGTTGACCTCTGGCTCTATCCCTTTGCAGGGTGTGAGGCAGTGGYGGTAGCTGCCTTGTGCATAGCAAATAGGATTTGTTTGTGCCCAGCAGTTCTTGTTGGGCTTATGATCAGGGGATTTCTAATTTTCAGTTGGGATGATGCTGCTTAACACGATCAACCACTGTTAAACTCTCCCWGCTTTTCTCAATGCCTGTTACAAGCAGCAGCCCCCAGCAAATTCTGAACCCTTTGAAATGTTTCAGTGAAATGCTTGACAGTAAGTCAGGCTGGTTTATTTCCCTTCTGTTRTGCTTTTTTTATTTTTTTCTTTTTAAGGACTGAATTTTTAGCTTTTCGTTTTGCCGGTTGTCACAAGCCCTGCATTATTTAAGTAGCTTGTTTTAGCAGCTTGAAATGAGCCAGAAATTCACCTTGCTCGCAGGCTACCAGCAGACACGTTTGGTGCCCGCAGGCACAAAGTAGGAGTTGATGCTCTTCTGTCAATGTAGGTGAGCAACAGTGGTGTTCTGTGTGGGGGAGAGGCTARAACACAGTGATTTGATGTTGCTGACATCTCTTTTAAGTTGCTCTTTTTTTTTCCCCCTCCCCCCTGTTCGTTTGAGATCTCAGTTCCTACCTCCCCTGCTTTCTGTCTAGTCCTGTTGCCTTGAGCTGGAGCCAGACGAGCACTTTTAGTCTAGTCCCATCTTGGGTATGTGGGAGTTCAAGATTTCAAATGCTGTAAGTGGGGGGAAAATACATTACACTGTGTTGAGAAGGGGGAGCTCTCCCCTTGACTGTCAGTTTAAATTCCAGCACCATCTGAAGATGCTCATCACAGCACAAATGTGGGGTGGAGGGAGCAGATTTGAGTTCTGCTCCAGTTACTGCAGTCCAGAAACGCCTTCATATATCAGGAGATTAAATATATGCACAGCACCGATGGGGGCTATTTTTAGGTTAGGCTAAAAATATGTCATGTGGTGTTTGAAAGGATTTTGAATGGGTTTTGGAAATCCTTGTGTAAGCATTCTGTGTGCTCCTGAGACCTGCTTCACCTCCGAGCAGCTGATCCTTTACCTCACAAATAGTGGTTGGAAGCAGTGGTTTTGTGGATGATATTTTTGCATGTTTGAGGAGCTTGTCCGGGAAGTCCCTGTGACCTCAGCTGTCAGTCTGAGGTCTCATCAGTTCAGGGAACTGTTAAACCCCAGTCCCTGATGGGCTTTGGTTTTCCCAGTAGCTGTTCTTTTAATGGGTTCTTCTCCTCTAAATTTGCTGTAGGAAAAATTGTAATGGGGAGGATTTTTTTGTCTGCACAGTGAAATWATTTGGGTTTACAGTGTCAGAGGGTGCTGGGCACTGATCAGGCTCCCCTGGGAATGGTCACAGCCYCAAGGCTGCCAGAGCTCCAGGAGCACTTGTACAAYACTCCAGKGATAGGRTGGGATTGTTGGGTTGTCTGTGCAAGGCCAGGAGTTGGACTCTGATCCCTGTGGGTCCCTTCTAAMTCARGATAGTCTGTGACTGAGTTATGAGTACATGGAGGAATATAGAGATTAAATTGGGTGGGACCACATCTTCAGTGTGGTGGGTCTTCACTGCACAGTCCATGGGTGTCTTAGAAGTCACGATGAGAATTTTGTATCAGATAGATACTGTTATCGGGAGTGAAGTCCCAAATTCAGCTTGATGTGCTGCAGTGCAGGTGGGAGCCTACAAAGAAAAAAACAAAAACTAAAAAGCTTGTGAAGTGTTTATCTGACTGCTTACTGAAACAGTTCTAGTTTCCTGTCCTTGACTGTATTGCAGAAAAGCTAATGGGCATGTTAGAGCTTGCTTATAGGTAGCCTTATTCTTCATCTATAAATAGGCACTGAAATCACTGAGGTAGTGTGGAATAGCTTCTTTCCATCTGTCTTCCTTGCTTTTTTATTGTTGTTTATGTAGGGCAAGACCCCAGGGTGGCTTTGATCTTGTTACTTCACATTCTTGGCGGCCTGGTGCTATAAACATGAATAAACTTCTTATTCATGCCACTAGATGGAACTGGCCCATGCTTATGGATATTTGTTTAAACTTCAGCTCTGTATTGAGTATTGACAAAATGAATTGCTAGCTCTTCATGGAAGCTTGGCTTTTACCCTSAAAGCAGGGCTTTATTAAGCTGCTTGGGTTTTTATTCAGTCTATTTTGAAGTAGGAAGAATTGCCAGTTCTTTCCAGGCTTGGCTTTTTTGTTGTTGCCTTGACTGTGTATTACAGTTAATGCTATTTATTATATTCCTGCTTTTAAACCACTGAATCTTTTGGTGATGTGTGCATGCTTGCTTGTACAGAGGTGCAGACAGTTTTTTCCTCCTAAATTTAATTTCAGATTATTCCCTGTACSTCTTTCTCCCTGCTGGAGGTTGAAGTGTGCAAGTTGCTCTCTCCAGGAACCAGAGTGCCCTGTAAAAAATATGACCTTAATGTTAGTCTTGCAGCTTATCCATCATTCTTGGATGTGAACAGCTGGGATTTAGCCAGCATTSCACAAAGCACCATTTGAGCTATTTGGGAGAAGATTTTTCTTTATTTTTGGTGGCTGTGCTTTTGCATTTGCATGGAGCATTTGCAGTGTCACCCCAGCCTCACATACCCAGCCCCGCTAACGCACCACGAGTCCCTGGAGGGGAGAAATATCCAAGCACTCAGCTTTTCTCAGAGCAGATCTGAGCAGACACCTGTCCAGCCCCTGTCTGCAYCATTTGATGCTTCAAGGGCTGATTTGTGGCCTTCACAAATGTCCTTGTTCCTCCCCAGCCAATCTCAGAGCGATCCTTTGCTGGGTTTGCTTGGTGACTTTGGCCATGCTGGCCCTATCCCTGCTTCTGTTTCTCCACCTTTTAAATGGCAAAAAGTGAATTGATTTTGTTTGCTAAAGTAGTCAGACAGCTGAGGATGGAAAAGTGCAGTGCAGGATGTTCACAAGTACCAGGGAAAATACAACTGTAATAATGTGGATGGTGACCTTTTAGAAAGGCCAGGGTTTTGCACCAAGTGCACTTAAAATGACCCAGCTCCTGAGCTGCAGCTCCAGCWGCTGCCTGTGGTGATGGAACAGCACTTTCATGCTATTCTGGCAAATAAAGAAAGATTTATTTYTATTTATAAGACAGAGGATGAGCAACCTAGTGGAAATACTCCCAAAATCTTGCTCTTTCCCTCACCCAGTGTCTCCCTCCAGTCTGGGCCATGGGCAGTGCAGGGACCAGGTGAACGTGGCTGTTTGTAGCCAAGCCTTGAAACCTTTATGATGGCAGATTCCCTCTGGAGAAGGTTCCTTCAGGCACYGAGCCCATGCTGCTAGGCTTTTTTAAGTGCTAAATTGTACATTTTAATTTTTTTTATTGCATCTTGTGCATCTGAACTGATTTCTTCATTTTACTGACCTTACTGAAAATGCTGTTCCCTGGAGAGGGAGTTAAGTAGAATTACTGAAGGGGAATTTATCGTGCTCTTCTGTACTAGAAAACAGGATTTTATAGCAGACCCACCAATTTCTTCCAACTTATGCATCAGTAAATATTTAATAGCACAGATTCCTCTGTGCTGCAATAAGGAGATGAATACTTTCCAATAAAAAAAAACTCCTTTCTCCTTCCAGTGATCAAATTGTGCTTGGAGTTCCTGTGTGTGTTCAGCCTTTCCRTGGTAGTGGGAATTGAGAGCTATAAGCTGGCAGAGCATAAAATGGAAATCTCCTGTTTAGTTTGCAATGATTCCTCTGGCCCCCTAATCCTGTTTGGGAGCCTCTGGCCAATTCTTTGTGCCTCTCTGAGAACAGGTGGGGGTAGCAAAGTTTAGTTCCAAAAAGGCCAGTCCTGTGAAGGAACCTGATTCCTGTCATGCTCTCCTTTTGGTTTGAGAGCAGATGGCGTTTCCTGGAATTTGTACCAAACCCTCGCTGTAAATCAGGGAAATCTCTTCTTTAAAATAGCAGATGGTGGCAAGGAAGTGTTCTCTGGAATGTGATTCGTTCCTGTGCTGGTTCACAGTGCAGGCACAAACCACATGCTGACACTGCCCTGCCAGGGTGCAGCTTCCTTCTGACATGCCAAAAACATGGGGAGTGTGGAAGTGAGCTTGGAGCATCTCTGGTGATTCTGAAGCTGTGCCTCAGCTTGGCAGCACTTCAGGCTGGGATGGTGGTGTCCCCATGGCTGTTCCACTCAGGGCTGTGCGTGACTTCCCTGGCATTAAGTGTGACTGGGATGGTTGTGGTGACACATCTGRGGTGGGTGAGATGCAGATTGATGTGGGGATGCCCCAGGACAGCTCAGGCAAGGGGGTTTTGCCCCTCTCACCAACTGATGGTGGCAGGAACACCACCATGTGGGTTGGTCCATTGTATTTKGGTTGGAAACAAGAAGATCCACATATTGGGAGGGTTTGAGTCCTGCTTGGATAAAATTGCATCTGTCCTCCTTTTCTGTGATTGCACAGCTGTRAGAATCCTTGTGTCTCCTCCAGAGAGACTTCCCAGGCCTGATTGCACTCTTCTGTTGACTGTCACAACTGTTGGAACACAAGATAACAAACACATCATGTTTCAGGTACTGAAAAGGGCCACAGAAAAATGTTGAGAGATTGCTGGRAGAGCCAGAAGAACTCGTAGCAGCTAAGTCTTGGGAAAAAAAAAACCCTTAGAGAGCATCTGAGTTTGCCTGACTCCCTCCTGGTTTTGTTTTATCTTCCAGTTCCTCATGTGAGCCCGACTGCCATGCTGGGGCATTGACACTTTTGGGTACAGCTGTTTAAAATGGCAGAGAGAGGTGGGAATGAAGAAGTSATTAACTTGAGCAGCTTCAGCAATCACAGAGGAAAAGGTGAGTGCTGATTTGTGCCTGTTTCCAAAAGTCTTGTGAAACTCTGCTTATGAGCAGCAGAATTCACAGGCACTGAACTTCCAGGGAATTGCTGGGGGTCTGTTCTGTCATGTCACACTCTGCTCTGTTACCCTGACTTAGCTACCTACAGAAACTCTTTCATGTTATGCAGGCATGCAAAATATTTGGCTCTTGTCTTTCTCATGTTGTACGGCCTTAAGGGAGATTGCTGAATTCTTGGGAGCACTGTGTGGAGTGTTTCAGCAGATCCAAGGAGGATCCATCTTTCTGAGGACCCCATAGGAGAGAGGCTGACCCTAAATTCATGCCCTCATAGGGCTGTGTGCATTGGCACCCATTCATTCAYGAGTGGAATTCAAAATGATGCTTTCTCTCTATGCCTGAAATGAACACTCGTGCAAAAAAATAAGCCAAAACTTGTCAAATTTTAGAGAAAGCATAGTTGTATGTTCTCTGTGCAGTACAGAAACCCTGTTTCTGCCTTGARTATCTCTCCTGTGTTCCAGCAGCTGTGCTGAGTAGCATCTATATTCCATTCTTGACAAACCTTGAGGGACAAGGTTGTCATCTAATAGCAGGATATCTTTGCACCCACAGCCACAGGCTTTATCTCAGCCCTGCATAAGGTGCTCCTGCAAAGTCCTGTTCTTTGAGAAGAGGCTGAATTGCACAGAGACTCTTATCTCTCTGCTAGAATGCACTGCACATTTACAAAGAAAATGTAATGTCCCCGAGATACTGAAAGTTCAGTCTTTCTCTGCAAAAGTATTCCCTACATGCCTTGTTTGTAATAACCTTTGCAGCAGTTTGACTTGTGCTGGAGTTTGGGGTAGAACACTCTGTGTGGGTGTCAGTGCTGTCCCCACAGTGCTGTTGTGATGAACTGGAGCTGTGCAGGTGTTTTGCTGGAGGCTGAGGGATGCAGGAGTAGCTGTAACAATGCCTTGCAGAGGAATTGGTGACCTCTGAATGCTTCTTCCTGCAGTGCCAATGGGGAAATTGCTTTCTCAGATGCTCCAGTGTTACATGTGCCCTGTAATTCCAGTTATTTACTTGGAGCCAACAGCTRACTTGAACTTTACTTACCATTCTGCAGACTGGATAAACCACAGGGATGAAAGTCTTATCACAATATCGGATTCCTCAGATGAAGAATTGCCCTTATTGCTGGAAATGCCAGAAAAGCAGCAGACYGAGGAAGATGATGATGATGATGTAGTTATCTTAGCAGAGGTAATTGTTGGTTCTTATAACTGCTGTGCTTTCTTTATTCATGGCCTGTATAGCCAAGTTATGTGCAAATACCTGATGCATTTCTCTGAGTCCTGCCTGGTTACAGCAATCTGCTTGGGATGGCTGAAATAATGGTGAAATGATGGCATTGTGCTGGCTTAATTTMATCATATTTTGGACACAGAAGGGGAGAACCCGACTGTTAAACTTCATTGTGTAAAGTTCCACTTGACAGAGGTTGTAGCTCCCATAAAGTTATCTGTCTGAATCCAGAAAGGTGGAGTGCTTTGCAAGAAGACTTGATCTTCCACWGAAGATGTTTTCAAATCATGCCTTGCTTGATTTGTATGCACACTTTCTATGTTTTATATTCCTCTATGCTATTTGCATTCATGTTGGGCTGTTTCAGGCACTTAGATTTTTGCAGCRTTCCATATCTATCTTATATTTAGAATATATTCCACTTTTCTGTTAAATTAACCAGAAGCACTGAGAAAATGGGTTGCAAAGCTGACCTTTCTGCTTCTTGGTTGAAAACAGCAGCAGAGAACACTCAGGCTCTGGTGGCATACAGCAGTTTGTCTGCCAGAGGCAAGAACGAGGCCAGAGATTAATGTTTTGAGCTTTGGTTCTTGCCTGTTTAAATAAATTGGTGAGAACACAAATAYGTCATCAGTTAGTTCTTCCTTCCCAGACTGTTTTACTGAAAGGGGAGTGRGTGCTGAGGTGAGCTTAGGAAATTATTCCACTTTGAAAGTCCTGTGCATCCTCAGTTCTGCCAAAGGTTGTCATAGCACCCAGGGACAGGTTGATGAAACAGATATGTGGGTTGCAGGTCTGTGCTTTATTAAGCATCTTGCTAAACAGACTGTTTATCAGTTTCCCATCAGAAGTTTTCTTAGATTCACAAGTATCTGGAGCAAGGATTCTGACATGCAGACAAGAATTCCTACTTTCTCTTGTCTGTGTCTTTTTCAGACCCCAAAGCAGCAGCAGCCTCTGCGTCCCAATGTCATCAGACCTGCTGCTCCATGGCAGGGTGCAAAAACTGTGGGAGAAGGAGGATTTAAAAGTGCTGTGGAGCCTTCGATGAGCACAGATCTGCAGGATGGGCCGGATTCAGCTGTGCCCTGTGAGGGAGATGGGAATGACCTCGTGGTGGAGAGCAGTGCTGGACCAAGCAGGGAATGGAGTGCAGATGTTACCCTGCAGCAGCCTGGACCATCTGAGCTGAATGGCCCCAGCCTTGAACTTACARGTAACCAGGAGCCTGGCCCGAGTTTGCTGTCACCAGTAAAGATGAGTCCACAGGCTGCTGCTAACACAGAAACCATTTGTCTGGGGAATGCAGACCTTCCACCTCAACAGGAGGAAAAGATGGAAGCTCGGGAACAGCAAGGAGAAAACTYGGAGCCAGAGCAGAAACTTGAAGAAATTGCTGCTAAAACTACGATGGAGCACGAGGAGATCCAGGAGAACAACCAGCTGCAACCACAGCGCTTCCCACCAGTGCAAGATGAGCCACGGGCTGTAGCAAATGGTTGTGTTCCTCAGCAAGGRCAGCCAGAGGCAGATCCTGGCTCCTTGAGGGCATACGGAGAGAAGGCTCCTGGACCTGCCTTCCCCCGGCCGGAGCCGCAGCAGGACGGGATCCCAGGCCCTGCCTCCCCGCAGCCGGCACATCCCCCCGAGGAGGAATCGGGTCAGCCAGCAGGGAGAGACAACGCGCGGGAGCAGCCGGGGCCCGCCTTCCCCGCACAGGGATCGCATGAACTTGGCTCGGGGGACGTGCCAGAACAAGGAGCTGCTGGGCAGGAGCAGGAGCAGGACCTCACTGCGCTGCTCATCAGAGAGACAGTAGGTATTGCCAGGGCTCCTCTSCCTCCTGTGTGCATGATGTTTTCAGACAGGTTTTTCAAGGTGTGTAAAGTCTCACATGCTCAGAACACACACAGCTGCAAATCCTCTTTGTTTGGCTGAGATTCAGCTGCGTGCCAGGTGAGGAGCATGTGATGAACTGTCATGGAAAACTTTGGTTTGAGGTGAAATAATCTGGGTCTGTTCCCTGAAAGGCCTTCTTGGATTTGTTCATCTGGTGTTGTCTGGTTGATTGCTAACCCAACTCTGTAGAGCTGGTTTAGAATTTGATGCAAAGCTATAGGAGCAAACTTGAGACCCTGAACAGTGGCAGAGAGATTCAGGATGAGTTGGAGAAGGCTTAGAAACACATGGCTGAGAGCCAGGGCTGCTTTCAGCTCCTGAAGGAATTTGGTCCATGCCCATGTTAAGACCAGCATGGTGGCCAGGGGTAGTGGTTGCCCTTGCAGTGTGGATWTCTGAGCAGTAACACCAAGGAATAACTGGATAAGCAGCATGAAGACCTGTGTTGTTGACTCCCTGTGTGTAGCTGAGCATGAGGGACACAGCTATGACAAGAGCCACCAAAAAGAACACTCCTTGTACTTTGGTATTTTCAGCAGCTGTTGCTATGTGTGTTACACAGCTCTTCTAATACCGACATAACCTTTAGCTTTTCCTGCTGTAGGAAGCAAGATTTCCAGATGTGAAGAAAGAATATATTGAAGAATTAATCATCATCAAGAACTGCTATGACTTAAATGTGTAAGTATCWAACCAAGAACCACAGTGTGTCATTGTCATACAACTGCAGCACTTTTTCCTGTCCCTACCTGTCAGGGATGCTGCTCTGGAGCACATCCAGGCTAGGACTCAGCACTGCCGTGATAGTCTTACAGATTTTTTTCTTTCTTCTTCTAATAGATCTGTTCTTAAATCCCCTCTTATTCTGATGCTGTGCCACAGCTTCTCTGCATGTCTTTAAGCAAATTATCTATAMCTAGGGCTCTTAAAAAGAATGTCAGGATTAAGGTGTTAAAATTACTGCAATAAAACATAATATGGAAGTGGGTTGGTGAGTTTTGAGTTGGAGAAAATCGTTCCCTCCTTCGTTTCACTGTTTTTTTGATTTTTCCTGGTAAAGCTGACACTGGCTTGGAGTCCATGATTTAGTTTCATGATGTTGGCTTTTATCCCCTTTACTTGCTCAAGTAGCAATGATGTTGTTTGAATTCCCTCACATCACTTTTTGGGAATGGAATGGAGCAAACACATTTAAGGGCTGGTAGGACTGGTTCTGGAGATCTGTTGAGGGACTGATTTTGGTCAAACTGAGCAGAAACATGGCCAAGAAAATGAAATGAAAGGAGCGGAAAACCARTGTGAGAATTGTTGCTTTCCAAATTCTGGTAACTGTTCTGGAATACCTTTATGTTCATCATACTGGAGATTTCTGGAAGTCATATTAGAGTCAAAAGTTGTTTTTTTTTTAAAAAGTGATTAACCTTATTGCTGTGTTGCATCATCTCCCTGCCCTTCTGGGCAGAGCTGGCGAGTGAAGGGTTGCGTGTGCTGGCACCAGCAGCACCGTGGGGAGATGGTTTGAAGTAAATCRCTTGTGATTGGTGTCTGATGCTTGGTGGCCTCTCTTTCTGTCTCTGCAACTGTCGCTGTTATCTCCTGCATGTCCAAACTGGTTACTGTGTCACACAAGAATGAGGAATAGGTGTTGGTTGCCAGGGTATTCACTTGTACAAATCCAATGCCCTTTCCAGCTAACTAGGGCACTAATTAAGCAATATTTAAGTGCGTGAGGCTTAGAATTAGTCATTTGGCCATAAATAAGTTAACTGGTGAGCAACTAAGGATGATCCCATCCATTGGGCATTGATTTCCTATTCTGCTTTGCCTGAGCTGTGAATCTGTATCTCCAAAGTAGAGCTTCTTGGTTAGGAAGTCAGCAGACTATAATTTCTTTCTGGTCTCTCAAAAGTGCTTCCCATGTGCTGGTGAAGCAGCTTTGGGGTGCCCACACCACAGACTGGGTACACCTCGGGGGAGGTGGTTATGGTGGGGCTGTAGAAGACCAGCAGAGCCATTCCTTGGGCCAGCTGGGCTGTTGAAGTTGTGCATCTGGCTGCAGGACCCTCCCAGATTGTGTGAAAAAACTCGGGTTTGTGTCCTGCGGGGATTTAGCGAAGCCTGATGGAATTAAATCCCRCTATGGGCTTCTGTCGGTCTTAATGTGTTCCTTCCCTTTTTGCTCCCGAAATCTCTTCTCTCCCATTGTGTGCCACAGACCCAGTGAGATGAAAAGGTGCTTCCAGGCTTCCCTGTAGGCCAGCTACAGTGTCTGCTCAGCGGTGCGTTACCCACTTACTGGATGATAAAGATTTCTTCTCCATATTTTTATTCCTTTAACCAAACTATCTTTTGAGTTGTCACTGCAGCTTTTGTGTGAGAACAAATGGGTCAAAGCACTGGTCAGCCTCGCTGGCAGGGTCTCTTTGATCTCCATGGTGTGTCAAGCTGAATCAGGCTTGAAATATAATAAATAAGGGTGGCTGGTTTTGGGCAGGGATGARGCTTTTAACCAGCTCTGTGTCCTGTGGTGCAGATATTAATGAACAGCGCCGTGAGTGTGGGTGTGCTGTGCACCGGGACCCACTTAACTAATTGTCACACACCGAAGGTCAMCATCCCCCAAAATCCTCAGCGCTGAAATGGCGACATGCAGGATAGTTCAAATGGACCCTGGCCGTGCTCCAGCTGAAACCTTTTCCTTAGAGCCACGATCTGAGCTCCTTGAAGTCACTGTTTTGTTGGATTGAAACAGTTATCTCTTACCAAAGGGATGGCAGGAGCTGGAAGCTATTAAATGCCAAGATATTTTGTTGTTTTTCCACGAAATGATCTTCTTAAAACTTTCAACTGAGGTAAAAGATAAGATGTGGGAGCCCCTCTTAGCAGGGTATCATCTATTCAGCTTTTGTGTGCGGGAGCATTCACACTCAGTCAAAAGCTYCTGGCTCAATATGTCAATACCTGATTAAACAAAAAGAAATGCCCCTGCTTTGAATGTGAAAGCAGGGCTAAAGTAATCGTGCCTTGATAGTGGGTTAATGCTTCAAGCCAGTTCAGATTTCTTAATTAGGGACTGATTTCTGACATGGGGAATGTAAATTAGCTGCAATTATATCTTTGCTGCAGCCTAGCACCTTCTCATTCCAATAGTTTTACAAATGTTAATTGCTTGTCCTGGCTCCTTTCAGAAGGATCTTATTCTGCAGCTGGGGAAACTGAGGAACAGCTTGTGTTACTTGCCCCAGCCAGCACAGCTGCTTGGGGAGGGCTGAGAAAAAGCTGTGGGAGCYTGATTCAGGCTGCCCTTTCAGAAGGGTTTCTGGAGTGTTCGTGGCTCTCTAGCAACTGAGCATTTGCAAACTGCTTGCTGAGTCTTTTCTAAGCTAAAATACTCARTTAAAACTACATTTCCCTGACTGTTATGGTTGTTTGTGGTAGGACCTCAGGTATGCTGCATTTACAGGTTATTAGGCAATATTTTCAGTAATTTTAGTGATTGTTTTCTAAGTGCTGTTCTCACCAGACCAGTTTCTAGTGGAATTTGAGTATTGCCGGTGTGATTTCAAGCTTTGTTACAATGAAATGTGTATTCACAGTTTATATTCCATGTACACACATCTTAAACATGCTTTTSTCTCTGCTTTAATCATGGAATCACAGAATAGTTTGGGTTGGAAAGGCCCTTAAAGGTCACCTAATTCCAGCCACTGGCCATGGTCAGGGACACTTTCCACTGAACCAGGTTGCTCTGGCTGCCTCAGTGTGAAGTAGACTGAGAACAGAGGCTTCTTAAAATTAGAATCTATAACAGTTTGTTGAGGAAGACATTACCATTTCATAGGTTTTGTAGGGATTTTTACACAGTTTTTTTCCATAGATGATTAGTAGCTCATCCATGCAAGCTTCATGTATGTAAATTTAATTGTTGAAAGACAAAAACCTATTTGCTTTTCCTTCTGCAGCCACACAGCTGATTATTTTCTACGTAATTCTCAGTCATTTACTTGCAGTTTGCTCTAGTCTAGGACCACCCGTGGTCAGGCTTTGGCTTGCCTGTATAGCTTCATAATTACAGGATACTAAGAATTGAACCTATGAGAAATAACCCTGAGCTCCCCAACCCTGAAGTAACTATATTTATCTTTTCAGACTTTGTAACTTTCTTCTGGAAAATCCGGATTACCCAAAGAAGGAAGGCAGAGTGGTTTTAAACCCCAGCAGCAGCCTGCTCGCCAGCCAAGATGAGACAAAGGCAAGTGAGAGTATCCTCATCTCCTGCTGCCTCTGGGCAGTCTGTTCAGCCTGAGTGGACCTTGGGATGTCTGCTTTGATTAGTGTGTGTTTGCAGAGTGCCTGASTGAGCCTTGCTTTCACAGGAGGCCTCTGGGTATGTGTAAGGCAGCGTTAAATAGCAATAATTAGTCGCTTGCAAGATGACTTCCCAGCCTTTCCTGTTTGGCTGTGCCAGAGCTGCACAGTGTCTGCTCCTTTGCCTCCAGCGAGCCCCTCTGCCCTGCCTGCCTGTCACTGCCCCATCTCAAGTGTTCATTTTGATAACTGAGTCAAGAATTCCACAATCTTTCTGTCACATGAAGTAGCCTTGGCCCCGGGTTTCTCTTGTGAGGCCTTTAGGCATTGCCTTGCAGCCTCCTAACTGCACATCTCCCTACAGCTCTTGATTTTATTTGTGTTTTAAAACATCCATTTAACAACAAATTCTCCCTGAGCCGCTTTGAGGATGTTCAAATAGCTYTTTGTGTCCTGAGAGGGATGTTGAATATCTCTTTCTGCTCTTGGAAACATCTCTTTTCCTTGAGCTAGTAAAGTTGTTCACTCTTCATAGTAACCTAAATATTTCCTCTTCTTGCTGTCTCAGGCAGCTACACACCATAATTTTAAATTACATTTTACCTTGTGTAGAGGTGCTTGGGCCAGTAGGCTTTGCACCCACACTGTTCTAAGCTGATGGTTACAAAGGAGCTCAGAGCTGGATGCCATATAACCTGAATTTTGGGTGGTCTTGCAGAATGTCTCGACCACTGAGAGTGTGATTTTTGTTGGTTTTGATTGTATTTATAGCAACCTTTTAATAGTTTTCATTTTCCCCTTAGGTGCCTAAAGTGGACTACTTTGACTTTTCCAAACTTGCCCCCCTTGACCAGCGGTGCTTTATTCAGGCAGCTGATCTCCTCATGGCAGACTTCAAAATGCTGAGCAGCCAGGACATCAARTGGGCACTGCACGAGCTCAAGGGACACTATGCAATCACACGAAAGGTGCTCCAGTTCAAGTCTGTTCCCTTTCCTGGGTTTATCTCCTGTGTCTGCAGAGAGCACTGTGATGGCTTTGGCCTTACTGTACCATCTGCTGCTGTGTGGTTATGGGTTTTATAATAATCTTCCTTTCCTTTTAAGAAGTTTTRATCCATTTAGTAGAGATTTGCAAAATTTATTGGCCAGACAGAATGCTGCAGGAAGTTTTTACTTTCCCTAATAGGAGAGCTGGGGAAACAGTAGCTGGCTGATGGTGGATGATGCATTAAACTGAAAAGTGTTCCTGAACGTCGCCACTGAAGTGCAATATAATTGCCAATAAAACCTAGACATTTAGCTAAATCTTAAAACATTTAACTGCTGTGCTGGTTAACTGAGTGCTGGGAATTGGAAAGTATGAAAAGCCTCAGTCTCACTGTCCTGTTTCTTCTTATTATGACTTGTGGCATCAGTCCTGTCCTGCTTGTAAGAGAGTTTCACTGTCATGGAGATGCAAAGACACGTGTTTGAAGTATCAGCAAACTCAGTTACAGTGTGGCCTCAAGTTTTTGGCTTWGTTCTGCTCCTCTGATATGCCCTTGCTCAAGCTTCTTTCTCTGCTATTCCAGGACTTAACTAAAACAAAAACTTCTTGTCTTTTCACTTGGTTGATTGAGCACTGAGTATGAGCCTCACCTTTTTAAACAAAAAATCATACCCGGCAACAAAAAAAAGCCAAACCAGCTCTGTTTAACACAGCTGATGCCCCCTCTGATATTAACAGCTGAGCTGTTATGAAGTGTCATTCACCCACTTTGTTTTTGTGCAATAATTATCTTGAGTACATAAAGCAGCAAGGTGAGCAAAGAAAATATGTGTATTTGCCTCCAGTTTTGGATCAGTCCTATGCTCATGTTTGTACTGTGCTTCAGCTTGAATTAAGTGCTCCTGCTTTCTTCCAGGCACAGGATTTAAGCCTGTATRTTGTTTTCTAGGCCTTTTCAGATGCTATCAAAAAGTGGCAGGAGCTGTCTCCTGAAACCAGCGGGAAACGAAAAAGGAGGAAAGAAATGAATCAATATTCATATATAGACTTCAAATTTGAGCAAGGTAAATGCCAAGCTRTGTGCATTGTGCTCTCTGCATCATTATTGCAAGCAGAACTGGCTTACAGCAAAAAGCATTCCCTTCTTTAAAGGGAATGTGGTCCCAAAAGAGCTGAGTTTCTGTCACTGGTATCTGTTTTGGAGATGCTCTTCATTAGTGCCTCTGCTTGGTAGAGTGCTGTGTGAGCTGCTGAAAGTGCAKCTGGTGGTGTGTGTGAAGAAGGATTTAAGCTTTGTTCTGGTTGTTCCATCCCTTTGTACTGAGCCTTTCACTCTGCTTCAGGGGATGTGAAAATTGAGAAGCGCATGTTCTTCCTGGAGAACAAGAGGCGGCACTGGAGGTCCTATGACAAGCTCTCCCTTCTCCCACCAGTGCTACTGGAGCAGGAATTCTATGAGCAGAAAGTGAAAGAGATGGCAGAGGTGAGTGATAGGAGCTGCTTTGATCATGTCCAAATCTTCAACAACTCTTGAGGCTTTAGGCCTAAACATGAAAAATCTGTCTCTTAAAGAAATTCAAACACTGAACCAATTATTGAATAACTGACTGTTTTCACTTTCCCTACCTGTTAACACTTATGTCTCTTCCCAAGTAACTCAATTTTAAAGGAAAGAAGCCAAGCACAGAATTTCATATTTACTTTAATATGCAGCTGCTGCTTGTGCAAACACTGTTCTGGGCATTTGGTTTTTGTTTTTTTTTGCTATGAAGTGGTAAAAACTCTACTAATTAACTCTTTCCTCTAATTGTTAGCAGGCTTCTCTGCTGCTTTAGGGCTTTTAATTGCAGCTCAATGTTGGTGGTGAGTAATGGCCAGCCCCAAGGCAGTGTGTCCACTCACTCTGCCTTCCCCAGGCTGGCAGTCCTGGGGCTCCAGAATGGTTTGTCCTGTGCTGAGAACTGGGTGTTTTGAAGCAGAACCTACAACCTACAACACCCACTGCTGTTGTCTTCCCCTCCTAGGCTGAGGAAAGCTGAACTCACAACTYTGCACCCACAGTCCTTTCTAAAGCAGCTCCTTAAAGATCCTTGTCTCCTAGGCAGATGGATAATRTCTGCTTTGAAACACAAAGCTCATGTTCTTTGGAGGGGCCCGCTGGGTGAGATCATTTCTGCCCATGGAAACCTGAACCAGCAGCCCTCCATAAGACAGAATTTGGTTCTTTGTTCTTGCTGCCTTTGCTTCTCCCATCTGTTTTAGCTGAATCATAAATAGCTTAATGGATTGGAGGGATGGGCTGAGTGATGTTACAAGCAGACAGCGAGCCTTTTATGGTGGTTTGTGAGTCCTGAGATAATGCAAATGAGTGGAGAGTTTGGAAAATTGCTTTATCTATTCTGTAAATACAGATGCACACGTCTCTCTTGCAGCATGCAGACTTCCTCTTGGCTCTGCAGATGAATGAGGAGCAGTATCAGAAGGTCAGTATCTATAATGTTATAAGTTGAGTTCAGCTTCTGTACAGACACTGTTTTGCACTTCCTACTTCACAGATTCTTTTAGCTCTAGAATGGAGCTTTTCTGAAGCTGCATTTCACTGTGCTGCTTTTGCTGAGCTGGCAAAACCTGTGTAATGTGTGTTGGCTGGCTTTTGGGAAAGGTAGAGAGGAGCTGAGGCCAGCAAGACAGTATTGATGCATGTAATGATCTCTGGTAATTCAGCTTGTATCTTCACTGCTCAGAACAAACATTGCAATAGAATAGCACCAGGTTTCTCCTGCTCCCTCCATTATGGCTGTTTAAAACAGATCCACTGTTGCTGGAGCTTGGCCAGGCCTTCCTTGTTTGCAGAAAGAATTCTTTAAAACCTGAAAATCAGCTCTTTCACATCAAGCAGAAAATGTAGCGAACAGCTCAGCAGCTGTGCCTCACATTTTGGTCTCAATGCCCATTTCCTCTTTAGACTTTGGAGAAGTGGGCTATGCTCACATTTTAGCAGTGGCACACTTCTCCACCCCCACAGTGAGRAGGGCAGGACAGGGTCTGCCCAGGCAGATGGTAAATGTTCCTTTAGAGGGTAACAGATCTGAGTCTTGGTTTCCCCATGGGAGTGGTGTGTACACTCAAGCTGCTTCCCAGTGACTRCAGCTCCCCAAGCCCAAGATGTTGCACTGCCTGTGAGCTAAGAATTATTAATCACTGCATGTTCTGTAGCTTTTTGGAGCCTATCAAGCAGGACATGTAGATATGAAGTGACTTTAAACTGAGTTTCTGGTTGTGCTTAGGGAATTTTGACCACCCAGTAGAATATGGAGTGGTGTGTATCTGTAGCTGTTCTTTAGGATTAATCCTGCTGTTGTTTCTGGCTTGCAGTTGTGTGTATGTGTGTGTTGCCATAGCTATTGATGTTTTGATGCTGATTCCTCTGGTGGCTGCAGGAYGGGCAGATGATCGAGTGCCGCTGCTGCTACGGAGAGTTTGCCTTCGAGGAGTTGACTCAGTGTGCAGATGGTCACTTGTTCTGCAAGGAGTGCCTAATTAAATATGCTCAGGAGGCAGTTTTTGGCTCTGGGAAGGTAAGGATTTCATAACTGGACAAGGGGGAAATGGATGATTGCTATTGGGGGATGATGTTGCTGTTTGTATAGTGTTATTGCTTAAAACAGATGTAACTGCGCTTCCCAGGAAACATTTGAATGGAGTGGAGTCCTGAAATCCAAGTCAGTCTCACATCAAGCGAAACCAACAGCTTCACAGTGGGATGTTTACACAGGATTTCAGGGTTACTAACCTCCTTTTTGTTTTTGCTCTATGCTTAGCAATTTGGTTATTAAGAAAACTTTCTACAACGTTCATAGTAACAGCAATTGCTTATCTGGTTTTTATTTTCCACAATGGTGTCTGCACAGAGAACACTTATCTCTGACTTGGCCAGTCTCCTCCTAGCTAACAGTGTTTGTCCCTCATAATATCACTGTGATCCCATCTTAATTTGGGGTTTGGTTCCTCCATGGTACTACTAACCTCCKTAGTCTCTGATTTAGCTGGCAATTATCCTGGTACTTAGCTGAGCTATAAACAAGTCATTAACCTGCTCTGAAGTGATGGTGCTCCTTTGCCTCAGGATATGATGCTCTAACTGTGGGATGCTGTTWTACTCTGGGATCTGTTTCATGTAAATGTATAAACTGGCAGCTGTATTTTATGTGACTTTATTGAAAAGAATGAACCRTGTGAGTGCTGGTTCTCAGCAGAGACTGTACAATAACAACGGGCTGATACATGGTCACAGTGGCCTTGGAGTGAATTGTGATCCCCGCTGGCCACATCATCTTCCTGCCCACTGTTTGTTTGAGGCCTGATTTGTTTAATTAGGCTTGTTCTTTCCATAACAAACCCATTCTCTGGCAGTCATCTTAGGCAGATTTAGATGAGATACTGCGAAGAAAATCTTTGTTATGAGGCCCTGGCACAGGTTACCCAGACAAGCTGTGGCTGCTCCATCCCTGAAAGTGTTCYAGGCCAGGTTGGATAGGGTTTAGAGCAGCATGATCTGGTGCAAGCTGTCTCTGCCTATGGCAGGGGTTTAGAACTGGWTGATTTTTAAAGTCCCAAAACCCAAATAATGCTGAGATCTGCTGACTTTAGCTCTTTCTCTCTGTGAGCAGGGCTTTGCACTGATTTGCTTGGAAGTGTTCTGGATCCTGAATTGCTTTTTTGCCAATGTCATACTGAACCTGGGCTCTCTTTCCAACCCCAGTCAGAGCTCAGCTGCATGGAAGGCAGTTGCACGTGTTCCTTCCCCACCAGTGAGCTGGAGAAAGTGCTTCCAGAGAACATCCTCTGTAAATAYTACGAGCGCAAAGCCGAGGAGGAGGTGGCTGCTGCCTGTGCAGATGAGCTTGTCAGGTGAGTGTCCCACAGAGAATGCTGCACTTASTGCTGTAGAAAATTGTTCCCTGAACCCCTGTGTTTGTGCTGACTCTGAGATAGGTAGCTTTTAAAGAGSTGGATTATAAATTCAGACTTCTGCCTTCCCAAGTCTGCTTTTATTCTGCCTTTGACTAGGAACAGATTAAAATTCAATAGGCTTGTCTCCCCCAAGATTTGCTTGCCAGCTCTRTGCTGATCCTCTAAATTACACGGTCAAAAGCAGTGCTGAGCATATAATATTTTGATTGCAAACGGGGAAGTGATCGAAGAAATATGAGCAAAAAGGCAATAGTCAGCACATCCTGGCAACAGGCATTGTGTTGGCAGCCTTAGTAACTTCCACACAGCTATTTGACTAAATCAGCTTTCAGCAAAGCTGTGTTTGGCACTCTGCATTAATGGCTTCTTGTTTTGGGCTACAGGTGTCCCTTCTGTAACTTCCCAGCTCTACTGGACAGCGATGTGAAGCGGTTCAGCTGCCCCAACCCCCGCTGCAGAAAGGTAACTGGGGGATTCTTCACATTTGRACTCTTCTGGAGTGTTGGGCAGGARAGCTGGGAGGACAACTCATCCTTCCTAGTAACAGTATCTCATGTGACTACACAGGGCAGCAGTCAAAGTGTTTGCTGGATTTTACTGATCTTGCATAAAATTGGGTGCCTGGACAGATGAATTTCAGGGCAGTGTTGATAAAAGGAGCAGGAGTCCTGTCTTTTCTTGGAAGRTGCTGGCTAAAAATCTTAAGGATGCCATAGGTTGCTGTCTAGCATATACAGAAATGTTCTGCTTGAACATGTAACTGGGTGTTCATAAGTCAAAACCAAATTCTAATCTTTTATCTAATAAAACTTCTGGAGAATGMGCTGGAACAACCTTACATGCTATGTTTGAGGGAACCGGTATCTGCATTTTTCTTTTATGGGACAGCTTGAATATAGATTCAGTCAGAAGTGACAAAAAACCTTGTTGGAAGAGCTGGCTGAAATGTCAGCCATTCAAAGGGCAGAAGATCTTTTTGCTCTCCCCAGCTGCCAATRGCCAAAACAGGAGAATCATCAGGCCAAGTGGGGGGATGGAATGAGGAAAACTTGCTGCTTCTGCACTGTCAGTTCTGGGGAAAAGCAGAAGCACAGAAATRTTTCCCAGTCTCTTGAACAGATGCAGGACCCTGCTTACGTCTGGTGCCAGTAAGGCAGGGCAGGATCAGAGCTTGGCACGAGGCTACAAGGCCTCTTGCATCACTGTAGCCACAACAGTGAATTCTCATGAGATTTGATTTCTGCTAATCACTGAAATTCCTCCTGAGGGCATTAACCTTACACTTGTAGCAGCCGGAGTTTTGTGTTCTCTCATGATATGGTATCACCTTTTGCCTGTATTGAGAAGGTAATAGAAGTTTAAATTTTATTGTCTGGAGAAGTTGAAGTTGCCAGCACTGAACTCTGCATTCTGGTGTGAAAATTGTACTTACTTGGGGGGAGAAAGCTATTTATGAAAGATGCACAATTCCATTTGAGATCCTGATCTCCAGATAGGTTTTGTTAACATCTACCCTTCAGAACTGGGAAGGGAATGTAGTGCCGTCGGATTGTCCCAGTGTTGGAGCAAGGAGGTTTGCTAGGCACTAGGTGGCAATGTTGGTTCACGTTTAAATCTCAGTTTTTTCTAACTGTTTTTTGCAAAAGCCGAGTTGTTTTCAAAATGTACATATGTCAGCACTACAGAATAGAATTTAGGCTTGAAAAACATGAATCCTTCAATGGGCAAAATGATTTGAAGTCGCTTTTCCCCTAAAATGWGTAGTGCAGCAGAGTAACCGTGGCAAGAAAGATCAGTGCTGAAATGTTCCTTTCCTACTGCTTTGCTGTTTCATTTCCTTCCTAGTGTGTACTGCCTGTTCTCCCCCCTCCGGGGTTACAGCATTCCAGTGGGCTGGATTTCTGGTTTCCTGGACAGCTTGTGTTGATTCATTAGCTGAAAATCTGCTGAGTAGCTTTGTGCTCTTCTTAGAAGTCTTTAACGACTTTAGGATTTGAAGTCGAGGGTGAGGAATTTGGATAGCAGGATGTGGTGTCTCACAGCATCAGCTGCAGTGGTTCTTCATATTCCTGCTATCTCCTCTCTCTCCAGAATGAGGAATTTCAGTTAATGCTCTTGCTTGCAGGAAATGGTTGCCTTAAGGGAGGAAAGGGGCTAATCTGGGGAACTCCACAGAGGTTGGAGAGGATGCATTGGCTTTGCTAGCAGTGCCTCTGGCAGACTCGGTGGTGGTGATGACTGATCCTGGAAGGAGTCCCTCTCTGCTTGGAAGGACTGCACTCACACAGCTGAACCTAAAGTGAGGGGAAGTGTGGAAAGGGGAAGGTCAAAACGTGTCTCTCCCAAAACCTCAGAGCTCTKTGAGGGTGGGGAGAGGAAGACCAGATGGTGGACCTGTTATATCCYTGTGCTCCATCACCTGGATCCTTTGTCTTGCTTTGGGAGTTCACGTTGATACCCTCAGGCTTTCCATTAAATCTTTCAGGGAGGTTCATTTCTATTTGGGCCAGCTATGGATACACTGTAAAGCATATGCAAACCAGCTGGAAACCTTCACTTTGGCTCTGTGTCTGTGTGCTGGGCTCAACAGTAAGAACTCTGCACACACCCAGGTCACTGCTTGTGCACCTCACCTGTAGCTGCAGTCATTTGCTCCTTGCAGGGACCAAGATGTGTGTAATTGTAACCTGAGCAACGGGCAGAGCTGCCGTGCCTCCTGTGAGTGCCYGGCTGCTCGGGGAGCATGCAGATGAGCTGGTACCATCTGCCAGGGCCACTGTGGCTCCAGCTGTGGGGCATCAAGTTTGGCTCCTGGTTAGGTGGCCAGGGCTTGAATCTTAATATCACAARCAGCAGGGTGGAGGAAAAGCTTAGTTAGCTAAGGAAAGATGTTGTCCGAGCTAGCCTTTGATTGCATTCTGTGTGTGTGCAGTCTGAGCTGGTGCTGGGGCAGAGGCAGCTTTCTCTCAGATTTGGCTGAGGGTTGAGGTTTTGCACTGTAAGAAGTTGCTGACTGCACATGGAGCTAGGCTTCCTGGTGACAGGAGGGTTTTCCAGGCTGTTTGTTCGACCTCCATTTTAGAGGGAAACCTGCATGGAAGCAGCACTCAAATTTCTCTTCTCTAAGGATGCTCATTTCTCCTCCCAGCGCTACAGAGCCACCCAAAACTSGCAATTGTGGTAAAACAAGGCACATGTTGCTGGTTGAGTTGTGCAGTGCTGGGAGGTGAGTGTGCACTTCTGCATGGTGGGGTAAGTGCAGTTTCCCACCAGAAAAGGAAGTCCATTCTCTGTGCTCAGCCTCCCTCCTCCCAAGACCCCACAATGMAGAAGACAAGGCTTTTGTTCCCAGCTGCTGCTGCCGTCCCTGGCGCCGTGTTGTGGGAGAGGGAGATGGTTTCCCTTCTTTGCAGTCTCAGCACAAAGCACTGCAGGGCTTTCAGCCAGCAAGAGATGGGGAGCTGAAAGCTGTCGTTGCCATGGAAATAATGCATGCACGGAGCAGCAGAGAGCTCGAAACCCCCAGCACTCATTTCATAGCCAGGCCACATTGCAGGGACTTGCATTTCCAAGACTTTTCCTTAGAACTCCTTTTCAGAGCATGGAATTTTTATTACTTTATGGTTCCCAGTTGCATGTCTCAGTGCTGGCTGGTTGAAAGAGGTGATGGCGTGTGGTTTTGTGGTGTGGGATGGCATTGCCCTCAGCCTGGGCAGCTGCCATTCCTGTGCATCCACAGTGGGCTTGGGGACTGCCTTGGGCATTGATCTGCCTATCTCAGATGGATAAAATCTCTGCTCTTCTGCCTTTTTGCCTTCAGCTTAGGCTCTCTGGCCACCAGCAATCCTCGTGCATTTTTGTTTGCAGCACTGAAACTTGGCATTTCAGGGCACRCCTTTTTAAGCTGCTCAGTGTCTCAGGATCAATTTGGAGGTGCTGGCTAGGAACAGATGCACCCAGCTGCTTCTAGCCTTCATTTTCTGTTGGAAGCAAGACAGGTTTAAACTTGCCCTGAGCTGTGCCTGAACACAGCCATTCTTAGTGGGGCACCACCACTGGTAATGAGTGTGACTTGCACTGTACGGTTTATGCTGCTCTGATGAAAGTGCTCTCACTGAAATAAATTAGTGCTCGATCAACAAGACCTGAAGTTGCAGAAGGAGGTGAGGGGGATGCTCTGACACCCGTGATCCCTGTACCTGGTGCAGCAAGGCACACRCAGCTGCCTGTGGTTTGGAGGTGGGTAACAAGGCAGCCACAGCTATGGTCTGGTTAGGAGTGTTTTATAGAGTGCAGGGGGAAGTGTTTGTGTAAGCCAGCRCCCAGGGATGTGTTCAGGATGGCACAGCTGTCCAAGGGTGTCATCCAACACATACCACAGGGCCCAATATTTCTGTGCTAAAGGCTGGGCTGTGCTGCCCAGAGCTGCCCTGCCCAACTCCAGATGTGCTGTGGGTTTAGGCTTAAACTGTGTCAGGATTTGTCACTGGCAGGGTGAGCGTGCAACATGGAAAAAAAAATGTCCTGGTTGGAGAAATTGAGCTTGTCCAGAATGCCTCAGAGTAGGATATACATATGGAGAATTACTTAATTCTGCTTGTTTTGCAACATGTTTTCCCAGCTGTTGGAGTCTGCTGTCTCATTSAGCTTCCTGACAGCAGCACAAACATTTTGAAAGTTCCGTGGCCCCATCTCATTCTCTGTTCAGACATTCTTATTGCTGTTATCCGTATGTTTTTCCTTCAGCCTGTTTATTTGGATTTGATTGTTACTTGGAGCTTAGCCCCACAGCTTAAGTGCAGAGCTGAGCTGAAAGTGGCATTTGCTGTGGCAGACCCCTCTCTTAATTTCTTTTTGGTGGCAATAACCTCAAGTCCCAACTCCTGTGTTTAAATTCCTATCCTCCTGTGTTTCTTAGGAAAATTTGTTGGGACAAGGAAGAAAAGTGCAATGTGGAGGTCCTTACTGAATGTCTTCATAGAAYTACAGAATGATTTGGGTTGAAAGGGCCCTTAAAGATCATCCAGTTTGTCACCCCACCGTGGGCAGGGACACATTCCACTAGACCTGGTTGCTTAGGGCCCTATCCAGCCTGGCTTTGAATGCCTCCAGGGATAGGATTTGGGAATGAAGCGCTTGTGCCTGTGTCCAGTTCATTCTGGAGACCTGTATCCCATGTGTCTGTGCCAGCAGAATGCTCTAAGCCTTCTTTTCATGGCTCTACCATCTTCCTCCTGAGCACTGCATCCCCGACACCTCCTGCTCCAGAGCTCTCGGCTGCGCCCTTTTTAAACTTGCAGCGCACATGGGAACTCGCTGGGCGCTCTTGGTGCCAAAACCACAACAAATGGCGAGTTTCCGTCTGTCAGCTCAGCTCAGCCCGACTCAGGCTCTCCACGGCTGGGCAGGCAATTTTCATTTTTCTTCCATAAAAGGACATTGAAGCTCGGCTGCAGCAGCGG